CTCCCTTCCTTCCTTCCTTCCTTTTTCCCCCTGGTGTGGTTTTTAATGCTAGCTTTAGAAATTAACTACCATCCTGGGCTCATGAACCATCTTTCATGCAGAAAAATGAAGAGGACTTGAAGCACTTGCTGCTGAAGATCAAAGACTACAGCCTTCAGTGTGGATTATATCTCAACATCAAGAAAACAAAAATTCATGCTACTGTACCAACAGGCAACATCATGGTAGATGGAGAAAAGATTGTAGCTGTTATTGGTTTCATTTTACCTGGACTTAAAATCAACATCTCTGGGCTGGTAACAGCAGCCAAGAAACCAAGAATCGTGCTGCATTAGAGTAATCCGTCAAACAACTCTCCAAAGTGCTAAAGAATAAAGAGGGCAGTTCAAAGACCAAGGTGCCTCCAATCCAAACCATGGTGTTTTCAACTGTTTCCTATTCATCTGAAAGTTGGACTATGAAAAAGGATGACAGAAGAATTATTGATGTCTTTGGATCAGGAGAAGAGTACTGAATATCTCATGGGCTGCCAAATGAGATCATGTCAGGACAGAAGAGAGTAAATCAAGGTTAAGGTCTGTTGTTCACAGGGTCACTGTAAGTTCTAGTTGACTTGATGTCACCTAACAACAAACAGCTGTCCAGGAGGCTCCCAGATCTTGCACAGAATGGATTATCTTAGAACTTTGTGAATCTGCTAATGACCTTGCTGGGCCTGCTTTTTCTCACATTTTCCACTTTTGACAGGCTATGGTCACCACTTTTCTATGTCCATCTAGTGGTGAAATTTCCATTTGCTTTCTCTACCAGGTTTCCACCTCCTCCAGGTTCATGGACTTCTTCGGTTTTATTGTATCTCAGAGCGTCCGATTTTCCTCCTGGTGCTCTTTTCCAAGAATATAAACACTAGGTCTCCTTTGACCACTTGATGAAAATGGGTCAAAGCTCACAATGAGGTACTTTAAAAACTTACCAATCCTTTTCTAAAAGTCAAAGTAATGAGTCTTTCTAAAGGTCACATCATCTCTAAACAGAATATGGTGAAAAAAAAAAGTCCTGGGCTCAGTAGCTATGCTAGCACATGGGAGAGGATGCTGTTGAGCAGCCTGACATATCTCAAGGCCTCATGACTCCATCAGCAACAGACAAGGTCTCCTGCAGGCTGGGGAGCATGGCTTCCTGCCTCTAAGTGATGCTAGCTCACCTGACACCTGGCCTGGGCCCAATGGCACTCTACTCTGAGACTGGGTGAGGTTTAGCTCTTCTCTGGAGTCTTTCAGTGGTGCAAATGGTTAACAGACTCAGTAGCTAATAAAAAGGTGGGAAGTTCAAGTTCACTCATGGCCCAATGGAAAAAAAAAGTCTGGCAACTATTTCTACTAAAAACTTTGTGGCGCACAGCTGTACTTAGGGACACATGGGGTGACTCTGTGAACTGGAATGAACTCAAAGGCCATTGCTTTGTTAGGTTATTTTTACCCCCTCTGTTCTTTAGATCTAGCAGCCCACAGAGCAGAGAAGTTATGGTGGCAGTATGTGACTGCCCGGAAGAAGAAACATTTTTCAAACAACAGATACAAATTATATACAAACTTCCCTGGTTATTTCAAGTTCAGGGGAAATAAAATGTGATCAGAATCCCATCAGTATAGACCCAGGATCCTATCTTCTTATTGACTATGTCATATCACCCAATGGGAAAAAAAAATACTATAATAAAGTACTGCAGTTTATATAAGTGCTGTTGAGTTGTAGATGACACATAGTGACCCTATGAACAAAAGACCTGAACATTTGTATAATTTTCTTCATTTCTCCAAGTTCATAGGGTTTCCAGAGGCAAGCTATTACGGAAGTGGATGCCACTCCTGCTTCCAAGGTTGTTTTAATCGGGGAGCTCCACCAAACACTGCCCACAATGGGTAACCATTATCACATTTGACACATCAGTGCCCCAGTGTTCAGCTTCACAGCAACCACGAGTTACCTCTGTACAGCAAATGGACAGGCCAGTGCTGTACCACTTAGAGAAATGTTAGTTATATATAAATAAATAAATATATATACATATATTTTCATCATCAACAAAAAATAAGTGTATATATTAAATGCAATAATGGTTATCTATGATGGACAGTGTTTGGTGGAGCTTCCTGATTAAAACAAGCTTGGAAGCAGGAAAGACATCCACTTCTGAAATAGCTTGCTTCCAGAAACCCTATGAACTTGGAGAAATGATGAAAGTGATACAAGTGTTCAGGTCTTTCGTTACAGGGTCACTATGAGTCGTCTACGACTCGACGGCACTTAACAGCAACAACAACATATGCTAAAAACAACGTGTGCATCCTTGCTCAGAGGATTTTTTGTGTTGAGGGAGTTTTTCTTTTGCTTTTCAAGGAGAGGAGCAAATTGGGGGGGAGGGGGGAGGGTTTGTGCGGGGAGAAGGATGCAACAATGAATGAATGGAATCCCAAAATCTCTGTAGATGTTCATTGAAATGAAAAATAAACAACCTAAATTTAAAAAAAAAATCTTATTTTGTGTTTCTGTGTGCCAGTGACAATTAAATTCAGTAAAATGAGTTTTATCTATATGGAGAGTATCCCTGGTAAATACATTGAGTGAATGATGTGATTTAACTAATTAGGAAGATGAGCATTTAATTACTTATCTATAATATTTTTGTTGTTGTTGTTGTTGTTAGGTGCCATCAAGTCGTAGACGACTCATAGTGACCCTATGAACGAAAGGCCTGAGCATTGCTCATACATAGAGTTTCCGGAGGCAAGCCGTTTCGGAAGTGGATGTCACTCCTGCTTCCAGGCTTGTTTTAGTCGGGAAGCTCCAGCAAACACTGCCCACCATGGGTACCCATTACCACGTTTGACACATCAGTGTCACAGTGTTCAGCATCACAGCAACCACGAGTTACCTCTGTACATGTATATTGTTAAGTTGATACTTTTGAATTGTGGTGTTGGCAAATATACCATGAACTGCTAAAAGAAAAAAACCAAACCACAAATCTATCTTTTCATGAGGATGTGCAATTACGATGTTCCTTAGAAGCAAAGATGGTAACACTAGCGGGCCAGTTATCAAAAAAAGATAGATGGCTGGGACAGGCAGAGGGTTGCCGGGATAGAAAAAGACTGTCAACAGATGGACTGACACAGGGCCTGACACAGGGCCTGCCGCAGCGGCTCCAGCATATTCAAGATGGTGAGGATGGCGGAGGATGGATAAGGTGCACATCTGCTGATCAGAGTTCCTTTAATTTATGGTTAACTCAATGGCACCCACCAACAGTAACTTGCTAACGCTTTCCCTTAGGATGTTAGAGTTCCATACCTTTTACTTATCATTCTTGCAAAATCTAAAAAAAAATATTGATGGATATTCCAGTAGAATCCTTATTCTACACAGTGTCACTCAGCATAAGGCGAATTTAGTGGGTTTAAACTATGACAAGCTCAGTCTCGTGTGCTAAGAGCAATATTTTGCCAAGTCCCCTAAAGATACCTTCGTCACAGCTTCTTACCTTTGCTGAAGGGTTTGGCAATGGAGCTGAAGGTTCTGGGAGCCTAAGGAAGTGAAAAATAGTCATGGTTTCACAAAGACAAGCAAACAGAAAGACTGGGACAGCTTCAGGCTCAGTCTCTGCTGTCAGGGGAATTTCACCTCCATTTATCTTACCGAACAATCACTGTAGTAGAGAATGATTGCTTTACAAGCCCACATTTTCATTTTTCTACTTAATTTCAGATAATAGAAGTAATAAAAAAATAAATTTTAGGATCCATTTGTTGAAATGTAGTTACCTTTTTCTTTAGCCTACATTAATTCACCTTTTGGGACTGGATTATTTTCCTTCACAAATGACAATGCTAGCATATATTCAATAGATGACATGAAAATTATTTTTAATTGTTGACAAAGTCAACGTTACTTTTTTCTTCATTAAAGAGCTTTATAGACCTTAGACTCATTTATTTGCTCATCAAGTCACTATGAGTCGTAGTCAACTTCACGGTACGTAACAATGACAATTAATACTCATTCCCTCAAAATTCTTAACCAAAACGTAAAAATTACTGTGAAAAGTTAAAAAATAAAATCTAAACTATTGAGAGAATACATTTAGTCTTTTAAAAAAATAAACAGCTAGGAAATAGTAAACAATAGGATAAGCAGGTATCAGTTTCAAGATATTGTTTAACTCTTGAACCAGTTTCTACAAATTTCTTTTTAGAGAAAGTCCTATGAAATTGGCTAAAATAGCAACAATGTCTCTGAAAATCTCACTGTACCTTGACATGCCAGAGAAGACAAAATATTTACAAAGTTCAGGAAAACTTCTCAAACCATTATGCACATAAATCTTAACAGTGGTTGGCAAAATCTAGAAAATAAACTCATCTTTTTTTTTTCTCAGCCTAAAGGAAGATCTTTCTAAAAGAAGAGACATAAATCCAGTCATTCTTTAAGCCCTTGTTAAGTCCCTCAAGGACACAGACTGTGTTTGTCTTAACTACCTAATGCTGCTGTAAAAGAAATATCCCAAGAGGGTGGCTTTAACAAGCAAACGTATCCTTTGACAGTTTAGGAGGCTCAAGTCTGAATTCAGAGCACCTTTAGAATGCATTCTCTCTCTTTCTCCCTCAGCTCTGGGAGAGAGCACTTGGCATCCATCCTCCTCTGACTCTAGGAGCTTCTAGCACCGGGAACCTGGTTTCAAGGGAAATGCTCCACTCCGGGCTCTGCTGCTCACTTGCTAAGTCTCTTCTCTATCTCAAAAAACAAAAAAAAGAGATGGACCTAAAAAGAGATAAAACCTATTCCTGTACATTGTATCATGCCTTCTGACATAACTGCCTCTAATTTTACCTCAACATCTTTGTTGTTGCTGTTGTTAGGTGCTGTTGTGTCAAGTACGACTCATAGTGACCCTCTGAACAACAGATCTGAACCCTGTTATCCTGTGCCGTCCTCATCTTCTCTGACACATTTGAGCCCATTGCTGCAGTTACTGTGTCAGTCCACTTGATTGAGAGTCGTCTTCTCTTTCACCATCCCTCCACTTTCTAAGCGTGAAGTCACTCTCCAACGAATAGCTTCTCCTAGCAACATGCCTAAAGTATGCGAGATGAAGTTTTATCATCTTTGCCTCTAAGGAGTACTCTTGTACCTATGCCAAGACATCTGTTTGTTCCTTTGGCAGTCCTTGGGATACTCAGTACTCTTCTCCGACACCACAGTTGAAGGGATTAATTCTTCTGTTATCATTATTCACTGGCCAGCTCTCAGCAGCACAGCAAGTGACTGAAAGGACCATGGCCCGAGTAAGGTGTACTTTAGTCCTCAAACTTACATCATTGCTCAACAATTTGGAGTGGTCTGTGATTACAGACTTCCCCAATTATGTCTCTTGATCTCCAGACTGCTGGTACCAAGTATACTGCTTGTGGATCTAAGTAAGATGAAGTCATTGCCAGTTTCAATCTTTTCTACATCTATCATGACCTCCATCTATTAATATGGAGAATATTATTTATCCTATTTTTTACCTATATTTACAACCCTTAGTATAATTATATCAGATCACAAAATGGAGGAAAATTACCGCGTAATAAACACCATAGTCTAGACAAGGTACCACATATCTGGTAATAAACACCATGGTCTAGACAAGGTAACACATATCAGGGACATATACACAATTCAATTTTCTATAGTATTCCTTCACTGGGATCCAAGAATAAAGATACATCTAAAGAGACAGTGAAAATAGTACACAATATCCTTAAATTCAATTTTTCAAAAATATTTTATATGCCATCAACTCTTCCTTTCTCATTCCTTTTTCTATTTAAGATGAGAATAGAGAACCAAATTAGCTAAATCTAACTGAGGATAACACTTCATTTAGATTGTTCTCTAAAACCATCACCAGCTGCCAGGGAGTTGATCTCAACTCCTGGTAGTCTATGTGTGTCAGAATAGAGCTTTGCTCCTCCACAGAGGTTTTTTTATGGTCGATTTTCAGAAGAGGATTGTTAAATCTTTCTCCCAATACACTTCTTGGTGAACCTGAATATTCGACTTTCCAGTTAGTAAATAAGTAAATTATTTGCTTCTATAACCCAGAGACTCTCTAAAATCAGATCAATCCATAATTCCATTCCTGTTGTCAGGAACTTTTCAAAGTGCTAAAGAAAAATGATGTCAGTCTGGAGACTAAAGTGTGCCCTGATTGAGGCCATAATCTTCACAAGGGATGACAGAAGAAGAATTGATATGTTTGAGTGTGGTTCTGGAGAAGAGTACCAAACATACCATGGGCCACCAAGAAAATAAATAGGTTAGTTCTGGAGAGGGTTGCTCCAGGCTGAAACCAGGCTGCTTCTTGGAAGTAAAGATTTTGAAGCTCCGCATCATACCTTGGGCATGTGGCCAGGAGACACCAGTCTCTGGAGAAGGACATCATGCTTGGAAGGGTGGAAGTACAGGTCAGGAAAGGAAGACCTCAGATGAGATGGACTGACACAGTAATTGCGGCAACGGGAGTAGATGTGTTAGAGATAATGAGACTGCCTCAGAACAGGGCAGAGTTCAGATATAGGGTTGCTATGAGTTGCAGGCAACTTGATGACACATAACAAAAACAACAACAAACACAATCGGTATGCAATTTTGGATTAAAACTTTAATTAATCCAAACATTAATTACAATCAACAATTATGTCGTTGTTGTTAGGTGCTATTGAGTCAACTACAGGTCATAGTGATCATAAGAACAACAGATTGAAATTCTGCCCTTTCTTGCAGTCAAGTGTTGTCCATTAAAAATCACCATCAAAGCATAGCCTATGTGGCATAACTCAGGATAATCTCTAATCAGAAAGAATGAGATGAAAATCCATAAAGATACCTTATTGTTAAAAGCACAAATCTGCAGATGAACAATAAATACTTACTTTAAGTATTTAGATAAATCATCACTTAGTTCTTTAGGAATATAATCCGATATTAGACCATGGGCATAACGAATATAATCCTCTGGAGGGAACAGAATGGAGAAAGGAATGAAAAATTAGTATCAATTATAGAGGTTTTACATTCAGATTGATGTGGGCTCAACTGCTGGCTCTCTGTAGCCTAGAAATTTACTCACACTCTTAGCTTGTTTCCTTAATTAGTAAAATGGGGACACCAAGTTGTAGGAAGCTATATGATAAGGCAGTCGAAGTGTGATCTAATAGATATCCATTAAATGATAGTAAAAACAAGCATTCAAGGGTGGTTTTCTAGTTCATGTCTTTGAATATAAACATATTTTTAAAATCATCATCATCATAACAATATAAAATATACCTTTTGGTTCTTAGGCTAATATTTTCTATGTGTGCTTCAATGTAGAATAAATCTAAAAAATTAGGATGTTTACTGATCACAAATAATCTATACATATAATTTTTCTATTTAAGTACTTGACAGTTAAGAATGCTGAATACAATATATCTACTCAAAACCCAATAAAAGTCTTTGAAAGAAAAAACTCTAATTCAACAGAATATTAATTTGAAAGCAAATGGATTCAACAATTGTTGTTACTGTTATGTGCTTCGAGTTGCCTGCAACTCACGGCAAGCCTACGTACAACAGCCTTAAGCCCTGCTCTATCCTGTGCCAATCTCACTGTCTCTGACACACTCATGTCAATCACCTCAGTCACTGAATCAATTCCTCTCATCAAGGGTATTCCTCTCCTGCACTGTCCCTCCACCCTCCCAAGCATGCTATCCCTCTCCAAGGACTGGTCGGTCCCTCCTTGCAACATGTCCAAAATATGTCAGATGAAGAAACTTGGCAAAAACTTCAGTATGAAAATACAAGTTCTTGCACCAATTATGGGCAGATAGGACAACAAAATCTGTTTTAAAGCTTTGCTCTTAATTTTATGTGGAATATGAGAGGAAATAAAACTTAATTAAAAATGGAATAATCACACAGGGACATAAACTGCCAAAGCAGATGGCCGGTCAGTTGCTGGGCTCTCATTATCTTCCTTTTGTCTTTTCTACTCTGCTTCAAGCTCAGGTAATGGTTTGGCCCAGGAATGGTGAGAAAATGACTGTCCCACTTAACCTAAGAAGACTTTAATAAGACTTTGTCACTTCACTGTCAACCTAGAATCAGAGGCATCATGGTTCTGGACTAGGAATTATCCAGTGGGTCACGAGCAAAGCGAATGATTTGCAGAACGTTGACACAGCACTCATTTGCTTCTTTGGGTACGATACCAAACTTATGATGTAGAAATGGAAAGGAAGAGGGCAAAGCTTGCTTTCTGGCTGGGATACTAACATGTATACATTTAGGGCCCAGACCAGCCCCTTCTCTTCAAAATACTGATGGACGCGCTGGGTCTGGGGACAGAAGATCTGCCTTACGAGCTAGGATAGTGACTGGCTAGATGTGCTCTGAAAGCCATAGTTTTTCATTTTTAAAATGAGAGGCTCTGTCTCATTAGCTGGTAAAGTCCTTTCTCAAACTTAAGGGAAAATATAAATCAATAACCGTGGTTTGAATTTACCAGTGGCTCCTTTGAAGAAAGACGGGCAGTCTCCTCTTATGTGATTTACAGCCTTGGAAATTCAATGGAAGGTCAGCGAGGAGTCAGCTATTCACCAAGAGCAATGAGTGAGAGAGCGAAGGTTTGACTGACTGGCCTCATCCCTCTTACTCCGTCATCAAATGTATTAAGTATCGTCCACTATCACAGCTTAGTGGTAGCCAGCCGTGTGCAGTAACTAAAAGGCTGTTGTTGATTGCCTTTGAGTTGAGCATGACTCATAGTGACCCTATGAACAAAAGGCCTGAAGCCTTTCTATAACTATCGACATTTATCAAAGTTCTTTGAGTTTCTGGAGGCACGTTGTTTAGAAAGTGGATGCTACTGAAATAAGACCACCTCGGTTATCATCTGTCACACAGTTTATAACTTTTAATGATCAAGGCTGGATGCTCTGGAGTTTATATCCAGAGAAGTTTAACAATGATGTGGTGCTGAAAATCAGAATAATTTCTGCCTGTTTTTGTTGTTGTTATGTGCCGTCGAGTTGTTTGCGACTCATAGCGACCCTATGTACAACAGCTCTAAACCCTGCTCTATCCTGTGCCAATCTCATTGCCTTTGACACACCCATCCCGATTACCCCAGTCACTGAATCAATCCACCTCATAGAGGGTCTTCCCCTCCTGCGCTGTCCCTCCACTCTACCCAGCATAATGTCCCTCTCCAAAGACCTGTCTCTCCTTACAGCATGTCCAAAGTATGTCAGACGAAGCCCCAGAATCCTTGCCTCCAAGGAGCAGCCTGGTTTAATCCTCTCTACGATGAATCTGTTTTCTTGGCAGTCCATGGTACATTCAACACTCTTCTCCAGCACCACAGCTCAAAGGTATCAATTCTCCTTCTATCCTCCCTAGTCATTGTCCAACTCTCTGATGCACAACAAGTGATTGCAAAAACCATGGCCTGTATCAGGCAGACCTTAGTCTTCAGAGAGACAACTGCCTACCAGGTGAAAATGTTAGTAACATCCTACAGACATGCTTTATAAGGTCGCTTTGAGTTGTGCTTGACTTGACAGCAGTCAACAAAAACATACATATTAAGCACATCCAGTTTAAGAATTTTTTTCTAAGGAGAAAAGCGAACTGGGGGTTTGGGTGGACAGAGAGGAAAATGTGCAACAAGGAATGAATGGAAATCTAAATTCTCTATAAACTTTCATTAAAATCTCAATTTAAAAAAAATTTGGCCAAAAATTAAGTCCCAGGAATTGATGGGATACCAATTGACATGTTTCAACTAATAGATGCAGCCATGGATGTACTCAATATGTATACTTGACTACAAATATCTGTATGATGCCATTAAGATCTTCGATGGATGGGGCAGAAGCTCTTCTGGCTTTGAATCAATTAATCAAACCAAATCTTTCTCTCTCATTTTTGTCAGGGAGTAGGAGGAGACACATACATGACCTTCCATTTCAGGAATTAGAATATAATCAAGAGCTAATGGTGATGAGGGAAGAAGTTACAGCTACACTGAAGGCATTGGCAAAAAATAAGGCCCCAGGCATCGATGGGATACCAATTGACATGTTTCAACTAACAGATGCAGTCCTGTATGTGCTCTCCAATCTGTGCAAGGAAATTTAGAAGACAGCTATCGGGTGAACTGACTGGAAGAGATCCAAATTTGTTTCCAATTCCAAAAAATGGTGATTAAAAAAAAAAGTGGAAGTGATCAAACAATAGCATTTGCAAGTAACTTACTGCTAAAGATTATCCAAAAATAGCTAGAACAATACATGGACAGTGACAGAAGTTCAATCTGGGCTTAGAAGAGGCCATGGCACCAGGGATATCACTGCTGATGTCAGATGGATCTTGGATGAAAGCAGAGGATACCAGAAGAATGTCTATCTGTGCTTTAGTAAATATGCAAAGGCATTTGACTATGTGGATCATAACAAACTATGGAAAATCTTGAGAGGAACTGGATTCCACAACACTTAAGTAGGCTTATATGGAATCTATACCCAGATTAAAAAGGTATTGTTCAAACAGAACAAGGAAGCACTGCATGGTTTAAAATCAAGAAAGGTGTGTATCAGGGCTGTATCATTTCCCCAACAGTGTGACTTTGGGATTGCAACATAGCCTCTTGCCACTAGACCACCAGAGTTCCCTTTGGTGAGATTAGGCAGGGAGTATTCTTACAATTAATATAAAAGGAGAATATGCTGGATGCAACCTTAGAGTCTGATGAGTGGCGGAGCACACTCTGCTACAAACAGTGCAAGAATCTGAAGTAGAAGACACACTTCCCAAAGATCTAATGGCAATGTGCTCACAGGAACGTGAGGCTTCTGTGAGGCCAGGGCTCTCATAGCTGCAGGGATGCCTCCCCGCAGAAGCCGCTTCCTCCTGGTGAAAACGGTTCCTGAAAAAGCGACCTGCTCACCTTCTGTGTCGTTGGAGAACTGGTTCCCTGAGAAATACATGCTGGACTGTACCCGGGCTCCGACAGTGACTTTATTGGCTTTCAAAGCTGCCATCGTCTGATTCACCTACCAAGTAACCAACAGGGGAAAGTCAGGGTATTTCTCGATAAACTTTAGAAATCTATGGCTTTCTTGAATATCCATCCATCCATCCATCCATCCATCCATCCATCCATCCAAATTCGGGGAGAAGTAGTTCAGGACCTAGAAGTAGACACTTCTACTAGAAGTAGACCCTCTATTGTAAGACATGATGTCAAGACCACATGTGGCTGAGGGAACTTGGGGCCTCACCAGCACAGCACCTTCACGAGGGCTTTAGTGAGGGGTTTTACCTTTTTTTCCAGCCACTTCAGTGTCTTCTCTTTGCTGTACTTGTAATATTTTTTGCTGTCTATTTCTGGATTAAATGAAAAGAAAACAAACAAACAAACAAACAAACAAACAAACAAACCTCAAAATCAGATTCAGCCTGCTGGATCACACAGTAAATAACTTTATTGCACATAGAAATATACCACATATAAATGCAATGGATCATTTAAAAAGAATTAATATTGTTGTAGGCCTCCATTTATAAACCTGAGATGATCCTAAAAGGGATAAAAGCATAAAAAAAAGAAAACAGATTTTAGGTACTACAAAGTTTATCTAACCATTAAATGAGATGGAAAATAAAAGAAATCACATTTATACAAACAATGGACAATGTAATTTTTCCCCCAAGAGTCCATAAAAGAACAGGATAGTCAACCTTAAATTTTTAGAAGAATTTTAAACTTATCGCCATATTTTTTAGAAAAGGTTTTTTTCCTAAAATGAAGTGGAAATCCCAAAAAAGAAAATAGAAACCTAATGTACATTTAGGGTGGCCGGGAGGCAGGGGAAGAATTGCTGCTGTTGTTTTTATGTGCTATCAAATACTACTAGCAACCCTATGTATAACAGCTCTGAGCCCCGCTCTATCCTGAGCCAGTCTCACTGTCTCCAACACACCTACACCCACCAGTAACTGTGTCAATCTGTCTCGTCCAGGGTCTTCTTTTCCTGCACTGTCCTTTCACCTTTCCAAGCATAATGTTCTTTTCCAAGGACTAATCCCTCCTAGCCAAATGCCCAAAGTATGTGAGATGGAGCTTCAAACTCCTTGCCTCCACAGAGCAGCCTGGTTTCATCCTCTCCAGGACAAACCTGTTTGTTCTCTTGGCAGTCCATGGTATGTTCAAGACTTCTTCAGCACCACACCTCAAAAGCATCAATTCTTCTGTCATCTTTTCTGTCCTGCTCTCTGATGCACAGCAAGTAATTGCAAAGGCCATGGCCTGAATCAGGCATACCTTAGTCTCCAAACTGACATCGTTGCTTCAGCACTTTGGAGAGGTCCCTGACAGCATCCTTCCCCAGGGTAACTTGTCTTTTGATTGCTGATTGTGGAGCCGAGCAAGATGAAATTGTTAACAACATCAATCTTTTCTCTATCTATCATGGTGTTTCCAATCGGCCCAGTGGTGAAAATCTTTCTTCTTGATGTTCACCTTCCATCAATATTGAAGATTACAGTCCTTGACCTTCTGCAGCAAATGCTTCAGGTTCTCCTTAGTTTTGTGAACAAGGTTATGTCATCTGTATAACGTAGGTTGTTGATGAGTCTTCCTCCAATCTTGATGCCACATTCTTCCTCATAAATCCCAGCCTCCTGAATCATCTGTTCTGCATATGAATTGAAAAGGTATGGAGACAAGATGCATTCTTGATGTACTACTCCTTTACTGATTTTGAACTATGCAGTGTTTCCTTGCTCTGTTATGAGGACTGCTTCCTGGTCCAAGTATAGGTGTTGTATAAACACAATCAAGTGTTCTGGGATTCCCATTCTTCCCAAGGTTAGCCACAATTTGTTGTGATCCACACAGTCAAAAGCCTTTGCATAGTCAATGAAACACAGATAAATATTCCTTTGGTACTCTTTGCTTTCTGCCAAGATACATTTGATGTTGGCAATAATGCCTCTGGCACCATTATCTTCTAAACCTGGCCTGTATTTCTGATAGTTCTCCATCAATGAATTGTTCTGGCCATTTTTGGCTAATCTTCAGCAGGATTTTGTTTGTGTGTGATATCAGTGATATTGTTCGATAATATCCACACTCTTGTCAGGTCACCCTTTTTTGGAATGTGAACAAATATGAATCTCTTCCAGTCAGTTGGCTGGGTAATTGTCCTCCAGATTTCTTGGCACAACTTGGTAAGCACATCCAGGGCAGAGCAAGGCATGGTACATGTATCTGTTCATGAACTACAACAGAATCATAGAAATTTTTCAGGAAGTTAAGATTTATGACAGAGTTGATCCAATGATTAAGTGCTCCACTGTTAACCAAAAAATCTATTCTTTGGGAAAAAGATGTAGCAGTCTGTTTCCCATAAAGATTATCACCTTAGACAATCTTTGGGGCAGTTCTACTCTGTCCTATCAGGTCACTATGAGTTGGAATAAATTAGAAGACACTTTTTTGGGAGGGAAGAGTAGGGGCTTAGATTTGTAACAGGGTCAACCTATGACCTTTGCAGGAACACCAGTTTCACCTCTTAAACTTTTGTACCACACAATCCACTTTCCACGCTACACCATCGGACCAGTCTTCCCTTGGTTACATTGCTCATTCATGGGGAATTTTCTTTCTGTAGCATCTTCCTGCCTCTTCCCTCCTCCTGTTCTCAGGACCACTGGGAATCTTACAGCCAAATGCACACTCAGCCCAGGTGATGCTGCAGGGAAGGGATAATGCCTTTCTCACTTGCCTTGCTTCAGAGTGCTGGCCGTGGTCCAAAGACTGTTTCCTACTGTCTGTTAAAATGCCTGAGCACCACCAAGTGATCTAAGGGGGTGGGTATACCGGGGGCAATAATAAAGTAATATGCAGAAGGGACTGAATACTTGCACCCAGACCCTTAGCACATGCCACTACAAAGTAAGAAAAAGGAGTGGCATTTGAAATAGGCATGTCAGCTATTTGAGAATTTGGAGAGGCAAGCCTGCCATCATTTCAATCTCACAAGGGTTAGTGGTGGAAATCACAATTCACCTGAATATCCAAAGAACTGGGCTGGAGTGGTGTTAAGGACATGGTCCAAAGTCACTGAGTTAGCCACTGGCCGCTCTGGGATACCCACTAAGGAGACTTCAAAGCCATGGACCTGATGTTTGTTTTGACAAGTCCAATTCATCTATGCTGCTGCTGTTGTTAGATGCCATTACATTGTAGGCTAAACTCGCAGCGACCCTATGAATGAAAGACCTGAACACTTGTATAATTTTCATCATTTCTCCAAGTTCATAGGGTTTCCGGAGGCAAGCTATTTCGGAAATGGATGCCACTCCTGCTTCCTCTCCTCAAGATGTCACCCTGTACTTCAGGTGGGCGCACCCTGCTGCCCTGGCATTTGTTAAACCACTTTCTCTCAGCTTTCTTCCATCTCTGAGGGCTTCACTAATGTTTTTCTGGTCTCTCCTTCCTCCTTCTATAGAGCCAACTACATCTTCTTCTGGGGAGAACTCATCATGTTTCACCCTGGCTAAACAAACTCACCCAGAAAGTGCAAAGCCTTGAGCTGAAGTTCCAGAACCCAAACCCACCACTGTTGAGTTGGTTCTGATGCACAGCAAGCCTCTATTGAGTTTCTGAGAATGTAAATATTTACAAGAGGAGGTTGTCTATTTTTTTGTCTTTAAATGGCTAGTAGATTTGAACCACTGACGTTCAGTTAGTAAGGTAACATGTAACACACTATTCATACCACCAAAGCAAAAGCAATCTGTTCACCTGTATCCCGGATCATCCTCCTGGTCAACCAGACTCAACAACTCAACACCTTCAGTCATGCTGACTTTCCCTTTGACATTCAACCTTTTGATTCCATGGGAGATGGCAAGTGTGGAGAGAGAAGAGCCAATGTCATGAGGTGGGGAAAGGGGAGCAGAAAAAGGAATATTGTGACAGGTATTCAGAGGCTTAGCTTCTACCTACTGTTGAAAAATCAACTTGACTTAGGCATGATTTTCATATAATTATGGGCACATTTTGAGTGTACCACACAGTGAGTTTGGTACAGCATGAAACCATCAATCTATAAAATTTGCTTGGGCCCTTTTGCCACCAATTCTTACCCACCCTATTCAGGTCTCAGTAACCACTGGTCTGCTACCACCATAGTTTGTTGCTGTTGTCAAGTGTGTCAGGTCAAGTATGACTCATAGCAACCCTACAAACAACAGCTCTGAACTCTGCCCTTTCCTGCCCCACCCTTACCATCTTTGACACCTTTGAGTCTGCTGCCACAGACACTCTGCCAATCCATCTCATTGAGGGTCTTCCTCTCCTTCGCTGATTTTCCTCCTTTCTAACAGATGTTTCTTTTCAAGGAATGGCCTCTCCAAAATACGTGGGATGGTGCTTCATTCTCTTTGCCTCCAAGGAACACTTTGGCTGCAATTTCTCCAAGAAAGTGCAACAGTCTGTTCTTTAGGCAGTCCACATGCTCTTCAGCACTCTTCTCCAACACCACAGCTCAAAGGCATCGATTCTGCGCCTGTCACACTTAGTCACTGTCCAGTTCTCAGATGCACAGAAGGTGACTGGAACTGAGGCTTAGTTTTGCTTTATTTCCAAGATTCATTGACATAGACTCATCTTTTGCTCAACCTAATTTCTCTGAGATGTATCCATTCATTTGCATCTGTGGTCTTTTCTTCTGAATAGCTGAGCACAATTTCTGCTCTATACATAGACCATGTTTTGATCACCTACTTACTGAGAGATGCTGAATTATTTGGGGGGAAAATGGTATTTTAAAAAGTGCTCTGAACATTCTTTTGCAAGTTTTTGCATGGACATATGTCTTCACAACTCTTGAGAAAATATTTAGGAGTGGACTACTGGGGGTCTCAAAATGCTTCTACCAGCCTGGTGGATGAGTTCATTTCCTACACTTTATTATGTCATCTGTCTTTTTTATTTTAACCATTCTTGTGGGTATTAGTGATGTTTTCTCAGTTTTCTTTTCCCAGTGGTCAATGATACTGACAATGTGCTTTTGTAAGTTTATTGAATATTTTTTTAAAAATCAACTTTATTTAGGTCTGATGCTCATTTAGATTGTGATTTCAGTGGAAGTTTGTGGAGCACAGTGGTTTTATATTTAACTCCTCGTACACAATTTGTTTTACGACATCAATTACAATACCCATATTGTAACCGAATTCTTCCTGCTTCCTCCCTGTGGTCAATCTTTCCTTTCGTTTATTTGTAAAAGAAGCTATTTTATTGTGCTAAAATAGTTTTTCACATGTGTGAGCTACATTGTGTTTTATTAAATATATGTCATGAGAACTCTCTCTGC